AGATAGATAGATAGATAGATAGATAGATAGATATTCAGATTGATAGATATTCAGATAGATAGATAGATAGATAGATAGATAGATAATGATTTTGTCAAGCCCTCATAATTAAGATGTATAGAAAGTCTCAATTATCCACAGTCTAACACTAATTAAATAATCATCTCTAAGAAGTGAAATGAAATGAAATGTAATTGTTCTCCATTAATTGTGAAACTGCAGAGCGAATGAAGATCCCTCATCAGACAGAGCTAAAGTCTATCAGCGCACTCTGGATTTATTACACTTCTGGATTGAAGACGTACAGTTAGTGGACTTCAGCTCCAGCTCCAGCCTCCTGCAGACGCTCGAAGCTTTCCTGAGCGCTCAGGTCACAGAGTTCAACTAGTTTCAATACTAAACTGCTGCTTTAGACAGAAGGCTTGAATGCAGAGCTGAAGATATATATATATATATATATATATATATATATACTATCAACATCATAAAATGCAAACAATACATTAAACCAGGGTTTCCCAAACTGGGCTTAATGTAAGAACTGCAGTGGGTTTGTGAGTTGATAAAAGCTATTAATTAATTAAATCATAAAAATGTAAAAATAAATTATTTAAACACTTGAACACTAGAAATATTTAATTAGTTTACCTGCATGTCAATATGACCATTAACCTTCATCAGAGAACTTTATTTACATTAATTAAATTGATTTAAATGAGATTTACATGGCCATTCTATATTGTTAATATAGTCAAAGCTAAATGGTATGACACACAGTAGGATTTTTAGAAAGGAAAATTTAAGAGAGCAATTTCTTAACCAATATCTTTGCTGCCAACCTTCGATGATCCAATTCAACCATATCAATAAGCAAAAATGACTTAAGATAAACATGACATTTGTTTTTCTTTTTTAATTGCTGAAGAGTGTTGAACTTTCTTCTCCTGCATTCTATGCTTCGTGCAATCCAGAATGGCTGAGGCTTATCCATTTCACTTTTGGTGTGAAAGGGCCTTTACATTTGCCAAAAATAGAAATTTTTATATTAAAAACTAATTAGCAAGCCCAGCCCAGATGAGAAAAAGTAATGCAAAAGTAATGTAACACACTACTTTCCATAATAAGTAACTAAGTACCACAATTAGTTACTTTTTTAGGGAGTAACGCAATATTGTGATGCATTACTTTTAATGCAAAGTAACTTTCCCCAACACTTCAGGTGGCACCTGTGGACAGTCGAGGAGAGAGTTTGCTGGCGGCGCTCCAGGCCTCACCCAGGAGGAGGCGCGTCTGTGGCCCGTCATGTGTGTTTGACGCCTCCATCAGCGGCCCAGATGACAAGGAGAAGCTCTCAGTGAACTCCTCATGCAGGAGACCATCCATCCAAGATGCTGCTCCAAAGGTCTGTGCAAGTCAAAGCTCAAAATGCTCATGCATTTAAGGCAAAACACCACAGGTGAAATCACAATACTTACATTGCCAATTGAAATATTTTTTGGGTTTTTTATTACTGGTTTTCTAAAATGTCATGGTTAAATTTGCATTTAGAAGACAGTGATAACAGTCCATTGGAAACACAACCAACCAGTGGACAGATCTGGAAAGAATGACAGCATGCTTATGAATAAAAATGTGTTTAAAAAGATGGATATTAGGTACCTAATTAAGATGGGTTGTAGTGATTAGGAACACAGTGTACTGTTGATGAAAATAATACTGTGCTCTTGGTATCTTCTTTTGATGAATGTATTTTAATTTAATTTAATTTAATTTAATTTAATTTGTTTTAATGTAATTTATTAATACATTTTTAAAAGATGCATTATCTAATTAAATATGCACTATTTTATTTATTTTTTATTTATTTATTGTTTTATTTTATTTATATTGTTTTGTTTATGAAACATTTTTTTAAATGGGGGGGGAACGTGCGGCCTTTAAAGATATGTATTGAAACTGAAATCTACGGCATAATAAAAGAAACACTTAACTTTGTATTTTGGATGTTTTCTTTCCACTAGTCTGAAAAAATACATGCTATAGTAGCAAAACATCTAAAAAAAAATGTCAAAATTGATCAGTGCATGAAAAAACACTGGTTTTGCTTGTAGTGTCTTGCCTTAAGAAAATCAAACAGATTTTATATAAAACATTAATTTCAAGCATTTCAGCAGAAGTCAATGATCTGTCTGCTAGTATATGGTGTTGTTGATGTTGACGCGTGTGCAGGGTTTCCAGTGGCGTGTGGTGGAGCCTCAGACGCTCCAGAGTAAAGAGAAAGTCTTCTCCATCGCTGCGGCTCTTCCTCAGCCGTGTTACGCCTCTCTGATGAGTCTGAGATCAGACGAGAGACGTCCCTTCAGTCAGAGCGAGCACACGCCGCTGCACATCGCTCAGCAGCTCACCTTACTGGAGCAGGTGACCAAAAACACCCCAATGCATTCATCAAACATACAGCACGTTTGGAATAATTATGATTTTTTTAAATGTTGAAAGAAGTCTCTTCTGCTCGCCAGGGCTGCATTTATTTGCTCAAAAATCCAGTAAAAATTGTGAAATAGTATTACAATTTAAAATAACTTTTCTATGTGAATATATTGTAAAATGTAATTTATTGTTGTGATCAAATCTGTATTTTCAGCATCATTACTCCAGTCTTCAGTGTCACATGATCTTCAGAAATCATTCTAATATGCTGATTTGCTGCTCAAGAAACATTTCTGATTATTATCAATGTTGAAAACAGTTGTGCTGCCCAGAATTTTTGTGGAAATGGTCACACACTACGCTTGTGTTCTGTAAAGATGCGTTAAATTGATCAAAAGTGCCAGTAAAGACATTTCTAATGTTCCAAAATATTTCTATTTCAAATAAATGCTGTTCTTTTGAACTTTCTATTCATCTGTGAATCCTGAAAAATAAAATGCATCACGGTTTCCACAAAAATATTGTGCAGCACAACTGTTTTCAACATTGATAATAATCAGAAATGTTTCTTGAGCAGCAAATCAGCATATTAGAATGATTTCTGAAGATCATGTGACACTGAAGACTGGAGTAATGATGCTGAAAATACAGCTGCGCATCACAGAAATAAATTACAGTTTAACAGATATTCACATAGAAAACAGCTGTTTGAAACAGTAAAAATATTTCGCAATTTTTACTGCATTTGTGATCAAATAAATGCAACCTTGGTGAGCAGAAGATACTTCTTTCAAAAACATAAAACTTAATTATTCCAAACTTGTGGCTTATAGTGTAACTCAAAATACATATGTCCTTAATTTCCAATTTTCATTATCATCCTTTATTTTATTTTATTTTATTTTGACATTATCATTTTTCCTGTCTTTTCTGCTCTGTTCTCACGCTGTCATTTCCTGATCCAACTCTAGGTGGAGACACATGATCATCTTATTTTCATGCTGGTCTTGATTCTCGCTTGGAAACAGACTTTATATGAGGACAGAATCACTATATCATGTATGTTCATATCCCATCGTCTGTTATTTATGCAGGAAATATTTCAGGACTATCATCCGGTTCACTTCCAGAAGTCAAGAGCTCACGGAGTGACAGAAAGCTCTGGAAACATTTCCAGGTGAGTTTCCGCTGTCCCAAGCTGATTTTCTAATTCTAGTTCTTCTAAAAAAAAAACCCTGCTGAACAGTGACCAAACAGCATATTTTACATGCATAGGATTCAAGATTCAAAGCGTTTATTGTCATGTGCACAGTGAGGAAAACACGTTCCCGGTAAAGTGAAATTCTTTCTTTGCTGTCCACAGTGAATGCCAAGACGAGAGCAAAAACTATGTAAAAAATAAAATAAACACACACACTCAAACATAATAAAAATAAAATTAAACTATGCTGCAGAAGTAGAAATATAAACTATGTAGATATAGACGTATAGACTATGTACATCTGTATGTGCAAATACAATATTGATTTATGTGCAAAATAACAGTACAGTAACGTGCAAATTGAATGCAACTATATGATAATAATAGCAGCAGCAGCAGTAACATTAACAAATGTGTAAAAATGAGAAGCGAAAAAATCATTTTCACCTAAAATCTTGATTTAAAAAAGTGCATGTGTGTATATTTATATTTCAGCTTCACAGATATGTCCAGTCTGTCTGCTAGTTCTGTGTGCAGACTGTGTAAATGTTGCTGTGTGTTGGTCAGGTGTGCGTCTCCAGCCTCCTCGCCTCTAGAGGGCAGCAGTCTGTTGCTCAGGGATGTGTCGGGGCCCCGGGGCCCGCTGCAGAGGCTCCTCACACACGCAGACTGTGTCGCTGACTGGGTTTCTGCTGAACTCGTCATCTGTGACTCGGCCAAGGTGATTCCTCACGAGTATTTACGCATCTTATAAATGTGATCAATGAAACTGGATATGAATGTTCACAGCAAAATCATTGTGGGTTATATAATATCTATGACATTATTAATATTAATAGTAACATTAATGCTTCACAGCTGTATTAATTACTTAATTTGTTTTTTATTTTGAATTCTTAATTGTTGTTGTTGTTATTATCGCCATTTTATATTTCTTTTAATTATTTTAATAATTTTTTAATTGTTTTAAACAAATTCTTAATTTTTTATATAATAATAATAACAATAATAAATTATTGGATCAGTAATCTATCTATCTATAACATTAATAATATTATGAATAAAAAACTGCTTCATAGTGTTTTAATTACTTTATTAGATTTAATTAACTAATTATATATTAATATAGCATAATTTTTGTTAAGTCTTTGTGTGTGTGTGTGTGTGCGTGTTAGAGAGAGAGAGTGTGTCTGTGTGTGTGTGTGTTTGTGTGAGAGAGAGAGAGAGAG